TATTCTCCATTCTTCTTTGCTCTGGATGAGAAGAGACCCATCCTTGCACCTAGATGGCTGCTTGCAAGCTTTTAAGATCCCAGACGTTACTCAACCAAAGTAGGATGTAGAACAATGTTTTGTGTAGTATGTTATGTCAATTAATCTTGATGTCCCCTGCAACTATGGTCCCAAGCCCATAGGTCCAACTACTCACTCCCTGTGGGTAGCTGGCTGTGGCCAAGAAGTGACTACAACCTTGCCCCTTGTCAGCTCTACTATATACCTGGGAATTCTTACAGAATATACAAATACACTTGCTGCAACCATTTTTTAATTATCTTTAGCAAAATTTTACTTGTGTGTGATATTAATAATATTGCTTGATAATTTCTATATTCTGTCAGATCACCTATCTTTAGAATGGGCACAAATGTGAATCTCTTCCAGGCATTTGGCCAGGTAGCTGTCTTTCAAATTTCCAAGGTTATGCAGATGATACTCCTTGCTTGCTGAAAATGAGGAAGACTTGAAGCACTTACTGATGAAGATCAAAGACTATAGCCTTTAGTATGGGTTACACCTCAACATTTAAAAAAAAAAAAAATCCTTACAACTGGACCAATAAGCAACATGATGATAAATGGAGGGAAAAATTGATGTCAAGGATTTCATTTTACTTGGATCCACAATCAATGCCCATGGAAGCAGCAGTCAAGAAATCAAACAATGTGTTGTATGATAGTTGGAGTTGTGTGTCTACTTGACTGGACCACGATTCTGAGTGATTCAAGCTGTTGTGATGTGCTTACTCCCATGATGAGATCGGATGTATATATTTTGAGCAGCCAATCCACTGAAAGGGAATTTCCCTAGGGAATTTTTTCCCCCTAGGGAATTTCCTCATCTTTCTCCTGTAGAGTGGCTGGTGAGTTCAAACAGCTGATGTTTTGGTTAGCAGCCGAATACCTTAACCACTTGCAAAAACGGCAAGGAGGCCACATGTTCTGACCTCCTCTAATCCCACGAGAGGAAGACAGGATTACCAGCAGTAACCCAAGGCCTATTACT